CCTAAATAAAATTTCTCTCTTTGTTCTCACTTCGTACGTAATGTTAGGTAAAGTTTTTTTTTCAAAAATGGATGTTTCAACAATGTAAAATATTACAAGTACTATTTATCTCAAGTCTGCAACTCATACTTCTTAGCATAATGTTGATGAATAACTTATCATGTTTATCTTCCTTAATGAGCACTGGTTCTTTTGACTTGATATCAGTCCTTCCACTGATTATTTTAACATTATGTTCTATATATAAATGCTAATCTATGCCTCCTAACTTTTAACCTAATGGAGTACAAAGTTTCAATATAAAATTTACATTAAAATAAGAACCCTCTAGAATCATGTCTTCCATTTTATTCAGAGACAAGAAAGGAACTAGATGCTGGAAATGTGTCAGATAGAGGGTCTTCTAGGCTTACACTGATGAGTACAGTAGCCACTGGACCATATGTGACTATTTATATTTTAATTTTTTAGGCCTAAATACAATTTAAAATGTACCTCCTTGTTGTGTTATGCCTGACAGACTGATTGCTAGTGACTCCCATATGGGACTGCAGATATGGGATATTCCCTCAACTGCACAAAGTTCCCCTGGACAGCATAGGTGGGTAAGTCAGCATTAAGGCAAAACTGTGAGAGGAAGGACAGAAAATTAACTTCTGCCTTCCTCTGCTGTTTCCTAACTTTTGACTGAAGAGATATAGCCTGGGGACAGAAAGAGGAAAAACAAAAAAAAAAATCTTAATGTTGATTTACAATATTGCTAAGAAATATCCTTTTCCTATTCACTATGCATCACTGAGGGAAAAAATAAGCTGAAAAAATAGTATTGTCTAAATGTCTACAAAGTATGCTTTCTAGAAACTTTCAGTAAAAAGAAATCACTTCATTTTTATCCAGTCTTCAACTGATGGGTAAATGGGCTGTTTCCAAGTTTTAGCTATTACAAACTGTGCCACTATAAACATGGGCATGTATATATCACTGTGGTATGTTTCTTTTAATTCTTTTGGAAAGATATCCAGCAGAGGGATGGTTGGGTCAAATGGAGCCTCTAATCTAAAATGGAATACTACTAAGCCATAAAGAATGATAAATTAGAGTCATTCATAGGAAAATGGATATACATTGAGGTTATACTCAAGTGAAATAAATAAGTCACACATGTATAAATACCAAACAGTTTCTCTGGCATAAAAAAATATAATTGTAAATAAGATCCTAATGATATAATTGACAATGTGAAATAGGAAGAAAAGGGCTAAAGGTGTGGGGAAGTGGGAAGGGGAGGGGAGGGGAAATAAGGGAAAAGAAAAAATATGAGAAAATGAAAAAATGTAAAGTTTTTGTAAATAGGGAAGGGAGGAGGGGGTGAAGGGAGGGCAGGTGTATGGGAAAAAATGAGAACCAAGACCTGTCATGTAAAGGTACAAGATCCCAATGATGAATGTAACTGTACTGTATACCTAAAATGTACCAATAAACTCAATGAGAAAAAAAAAAAAAAAGAAATTGTATACTAAGTGGCTGAAATCAACCTTTCCATTTCCAAGCTGAAATAAAACAGTGTTTTAAAAATTCTGTGATATTCTAAAAAAAAAAAAAAAGAAAAAAAAAGGAAAAGAAAAGAAAAGAAATCACTACTCAAAGTATCTTTTTTTTTAATTGAGTTTATTGGTACTTTTTAAGTATACAGTACAGTTACATTCATCATTGGGATCTTGTACCCTTACATGACAGATGTTGGTTCTCATTTTCTCCCCATACCCCACACCCCTTCCACCCTCCCCTATTTTCAAAGACTTTGTTTCCATTTTTTCCTCTCCCTTATTTCCTTTCCCCTACCCTTCCCACTTTCCCTACACCTTTAGCCCTTTTCTTCCTATTTCACATTGTCAGTTGTACAATTTTACCCAAAGTATCTTTCAAAATTGCAGAAGCAGTTTTGAAGGTTACTCTTACCTTCCCCTCACTCTTCTCTTCGATGTAACAAAACTTTGGAAGGATTTTCTGACTTTCCCCTGAAGTAGGATAAAAGGCCCTTATGTGAGATGTGCCCTCCCTGTACCCAGGTAAAAGAAATATTATCTTTGAAGATAAACAAAAAACAGAGAAGACACCTATTGTCATTAGATCATATTCTTTGCCCTATGTTAGTTCTCCATGACTACCCACAAATCATGAAATCTACTATTCAAAAAGACTCGGAATGAATTGTTGATTTTGGGGGGGGTCTTCCATTTCTCTATGAAGGTATCATACAAAAATTAAATTAATTTGTGTTTTTTCTTTTATTCATCTGCTTATTTCTACATTGGCTTCAATCATGAGCCCAGAATGAGCACAAGGAAAGGTATACCTGTATGTACACCAAAAGGCATAGGACAATTGCCAGGAAAGAGAAACGATACTTGACAGGGCACTTACAGGCTTTTCAGTACAGGAACTAATATTGCCTTACAGTAGGAAGTCAAATCACTATAGGAAACAAGGTGGGCTTAATTAGAGGCTCTCTAATTTTTTTTTCAGATTTTAATTCCTTATTGTTGATCAATGAAAAATGTATATTGGATCACAAATGCTTGCTATGTGACATGTTTTTGTTATTTCCTTAAGGTCATCATGTCTCATAGAAATTCATTTCACATCTCATCAGTTGCAGCTATGAGTTGGGAAAACTGTGTCTTCATTTCTCAGAGACAAGAATACAAAAACAGAACTAATAGAATAAAGGACTAGAGTTTTCCCTAATGAGACTGAGCTCAAGCAACCCACATTTCTGGATATGGAATAAGCCTTATACTGTTTTCCACAGGGCACTTGACAGTGTTAATTGTGACACATTTCATGGGTATTTTCAGAGCCTGGGGAAAATATGACAGGAGTGTGTGTTCTAGGTATGCAGTTACTGACTGGGCAATTGATGCTGTTTTCTCCCTTTGTCCAGTGCTTGGCAGAATCATTTTGTATAAAGCTCTGCAGAGCCCTAAAAATAAAAATATTATGACACACTTTAAAGGGTTGCTTGAGAGTGCACTTTCAAAAGGATGCCGGCATTTTGGATCACTCATGACTGAACAAAGAGATCAAAGGTGCTCCTCTCTGTGCATGAATTGTGAACTGAAACTTTACAGGTAACTGTTATTGTATACAGAGATAAGAAAGGATCTAAGGAACAGCGTAAGTAGGTAAGCCCTTCAGATTTCTTCAGAGATAAAGGTCTGGGAGGCAAGAATCCTTTTTGGGTGTGCAATCAACTCTGCTGTTTCCAAGATACACAATCTTAAAATTCAAGTGGAGACAGGGTCAAGATAAAAATAAAGAACTCCACAAATACATCAAAGACCTAAACTTGAATGTTCTTCCTCACAGTTACTATTAGGTAGAGATTCTAAATTATTTTAGCTCTAACTTGATTACTCATTCTGTATCCTTGGGGTCTGAAAAACATTACCAAATTCGGTTTCTTAAAGTGAAGGACAGCATCCAATCTACAATTCATCAGTTCACATGAAATAAAACACAGTCACACAGAGGACAGCATTCTCTAGATATGAGAACTTTTTTTTCTTTTGAAAACTGGGGTGGAGTAAGCAATTCTTATGACTAAAAAGTATATTTTATACAGATCTACAATAACATGTCTCTCCTGTCTAAGGTAAGTGTGGCTACTGTAGTCTAAGATTGAAAATATGAGTTATGATGTACCCATTTTTGATTAGTGAAACAAATCAAAATTTATTCATTTATTATTGTTGTGTTGGTTTCAAGATAGGAACAAACAAATAAATATAACTAAAGCAAAAAGCCCACTCCCGAAGAGTTTTACAAACCTGGGGATTATACTGAGAGAGAGCTGTCTACCTATTCTTTGGTCTTATTGGTTACCTTTGGAAAGTGACTCAAACAATAGCTATTAACATTATATTTGCTTTATATTTTAACTTTCATTGATAAATATATTCCAGTATGATGTTTCACTCCTCACAACTTGCATTTCATGGGCCTTATTTCATATTAACGGCAGATTCCTGGGAAGAGTTACATGGTGTAATTTCTTAGTCCGATTTCCCACATATGTGAAAATTAAGTTTCTAAACTTTAGTGACTGGTAAATGTTCTCACAATGAAGAAGTAATTAAAGCTGTTATCAGTGTCAGGAACAGCTCTAAGTACTCTTAATTCTAAACAGAGACAGCCCAGTATCAACTAGGGATAAAAACCCAAATTCTAGAAACAGTCAGGCTCTATGATTTACTGGCCATGTCTCACTGGTCAACTCAATGGTCTTTGTAGGCCTTAGATTATTCACCTATTAAATGAATAAGATGACACCCCCTTTATAGCACTGCTGACAAACTGCTCCTGCAGAAACTTCCAGTCATTCTCATGCAGGCTTGCTATTATTAAAGGTTATTGTTCTTAAATTTTTGTTCCTCAATCTTTATATTTACCCAGTTTCTTTTTGTATAACCCAAGCATTATTTCCCCCAGTTCTAAGTGGTATTTAGGAAAAATAAACATGTTAGAAAAATAAATACTTTCATATTTAGAGAATGAAAAGATTGCTGACAATATATTTGCTGTGTATCCTAGGTTTAATTTTTAAATAATTTAATCAAATTACAATTTAGCTCTTAACATTTTCTTTAAAAACCCGGGATTTTTTTTCTTTTAGTTATATCCTATAAATGGATACATCATCTTTCTACAAGGAGGCCAAGTACTTTCTGAAATTATTGCATCATATATGTGATTATCTATTCTAACAAAGTTGTTTTCAAACCAAATGATATATTTTGAGAATTAGAAAAAGGAGTCCCTTTTGCAGGGTGGAATACCCTCTTTTCAGGGCACTTGGCTTGGCAAGCCTTTCTTGGGGAACAATTTTGGCTCCAACCATCCTTGTGGCGCTGTCTTCCAGTTCCTCTTGATTACAGAACTGACGTAGTTAGAAAAGAGCTAAATGCAGCACCAGAAAAAGAAATTTGAGAGTGACCTACCTCATGGTACTTTTTCACGGTTTTCCCTGAGCTGCATGTGCAGGACTTGCCGTTGGCAATTCCACAACCACAATTTCCTCCACAGCGCTGCACCAGAAGGCAGCGCGGAAAGAAGACTGCATTGGTCAGCTTCAGCTCCTCTCTTAGGTTGACTGAGTAATTCCTAGGGGTGCAACTGTAACGCTTGACATCATCATTGAGCCTGTCCAGGTCAACTGTGGGCAAACACAAACACTGTGTAAGCAAACATACAGTGGTAAGCAAAATCCTCAATATGTGCTCTGTTCAGGGGATGAAGTGGGGAATTCTGTAAGAACAATCTTAACTCAGGGTTAAATATGTTTGGGTACTTACAGTGGGAAATTTAATTTCTCTTTGATTCTTTCTGTCCTCCACAAATAACAAAAAATAAATTAAAATCTGCACTGTAGTTCAAATTTCCTGGTACCTTTCTTTAATGTAATTTTTTTTTTCAAATGAAAGAAAACGAAACATTTGATGATTTAAAATAAATGTCTTTATCTTTCTTTTCTCTTCCTTTCTTTCAGTATCGTGGATCAAACTCGGGTCCTTGCACTTGCGAGGCAGGCAGCAGAACCACTGAGCTAAATCCCTGGCCTGCCTTTATCTTTAAAAACACAAAATGAAGTTTTTCTTGTTTCTAAGTAAATCCTGAGTCTAAGTCATTAGTTATACATAATTTGAGATATACTGGGGACACATTAGACATGAACATTCTGATGTGTGTACTTGGCAATAAACTTGTAAGTTAATGTGACAAAGGAAAATATTTTAGTTTCATTTTAAATTCAAAGTCAGCCAAAATGCTAAAGGAAATGCTGTTCTGCTGTGAACGTGGTGCTTGTTTGGGCACTGGGTCCTAGATGGCAGCATAGCATGATGGCTAAGTGCATGGGCTCTGCAGCAAAACTACAGCTTTATAATTACATTGTGCCTCCTTTTAGTGAGAAAGTTATTTAAAGGCTCTGAACCTCTGCTTTCTTATCTATAACATATAAATATTTGAAGGTTTGAACAGAATGTGCCTGGTACTCAATTAATACTGGCTGTTTTTCATTATCTTGTTTCATTTTGATTTTCTCCACCTTTATTTTCTTTAAAGTCAATACATACATTTTTAAAAAATCAGATCTTCCTCTCTATTTCTGTTTTGGTCACTTTTCTATATAAATGGTTTTCAAGAGTTATGGATAATGGTACTATTATGAATTGTCTTAATAATCTTTAAAATCTAAATAATAAGGCTGGGGATTTAGCTCAGTGGTTCGGTGGCCTGCCTTGCAAGTGCAAAGACCCGAGTTCAATCACGGGTACAAAAAAAAAAAAATCTAAATAATAAAATTGTACTTGAATTAAATTTGTATTGTTGCAATACATAAATTGTATTTTAAATAATGCTCTCCAAATCTATCAGCTATCCATCCATCAGCACTCAACTCCTGAAAGTTGTGGCTGTACGCAAGCACTTTCTCACCAGGATGCCAAGAGCAGAAAGCTCTTTTGTCTGCACAGTTTCCACCACCACATCCTACTGAAGCTCCCCATGTACCAGCTGGACCACCACAGGAGGGGATCAAAAACGCTGGGCAGATATCACATTTGTCATAACTATGGTCCCAGGAAGTATTTTATTCTTAAATCAGAACTGCTTGAGGAGCAGTAAGGGGTGGTCTTTGCAGGTAGAGGTCAAAGATCAAGAACGATGTCAAAAGAATGCGACTGAGGGCAATTGAAGGACAAGGAGGCACAAGTGTGGCCTAAGTATCCATTAACCCATCATAAGCTAATTTCACTGAGAGTAAGCAAGAGATCAGCTATATGGCCAGATGACCCTTTGAATAGGAAATTAAATGGCAGCTGGATTGATCTACCCTGAGTGAATTATCAGATTGCAACTATGTTTTGATTCTCAAGGGCAGAGATTTATACCTAACTGTTAAATGCTGAGCTCTGGGACACTGTGGGCACTGAATAAATGCTAATCACTGTGCATAATTTATTGCTGTTTTTTTTCCTTTGTAAAGACATGTCATAAGTTTAGCCACAATCAATCCAGATTTAAATTGAATGAACTCTGTCTTGGGAAAGGAACCATTTTATTGCTGCTAAAGCCCTGAAAATAACTGCAAGCAAAGCAGAAAGGATTACATAAATGGATTAAGAAGTGCAGCAATCATCCATTACAAGTATCACCTTGAGATAAATACTGATGCTGTCCTGTACATTACTGGGCCTGCGGACAGGGCTGATGCAGAGGGCCACATCTGCTGCTTATGATAATGAGAACATATATGTCTGACATGAGGAATAAAGAGGTGCAATTAGCAGGAAAGGATCATGATGCATGGGTGTGAAGAGGGGGCAGGAAGGAGATACTAATACTGAGTTTTTAATTCAGTTCAGCTTCCTGTTCAGCATTGCACGTATAATAACATGTAGTTGTTCCCCACCCTTTTGAAGTAGGTATTATTTAACCAAGGTGAATTGTAAATGTTGAAACTACAATTAAAGCTTTTCAGGTCATTGGTTGAAAGAAAAAGACCAACACTGCTAAGGCTTATCAAGCTGTGCTACAGGATATTAAACTGAAGTTGGAGCAATGAATGTCTATACCCCTATCTTCAGGAGGTATCTAGCCAAAACTACAGCATGCCTTCCCTATGTGAATTTAGCTAAATCCCAAGGTACTCTCCACAAATCAGAACAAAGCACATGTGCCTTATTTCCCTTAAAACTCCTGATTTTGTAAAACCATCTCATTGAGGAGGCCTGGTGACTTTTGCTTCTCACCTGCCATGAAAAGATTTACAATGCTGTCTGTTTTATGCATCAATTCACTGATGTGACTAAAGCCTATGGCCTACAGAGACTGCTGTAGCTGCCTACTTATCAGGGGATTGAAATCACTGAGGAGCTCAATTTGGAATTAGAAGCAAAAGGTTCTTCTGACTGGATGCAAATAACTTCAAGGCATGACTGCAGACTTTCTGCAGGTAAATTGAGTTTCCAGTCAAAGAAGACAGATGAGACAGCGCAGTAGAGCAGAGAACTGGACAGAGGCTGAGCAACAATTAAGGCTCCTGATGTACTGGTTGGAAGGACTCTGGTATGAGCCTTGTGAAAGGGTTGGCATATGAAGTTATACAAATCCTGCAAAAAAATGGTGCCTTTTCGATTTTTGCATCACTTTCCATGGCTGAACATTGTAGAGCAGTGAGGATATTACAAATTTAATTCACAGGCCCATTAATTTCATCTAATTTCCATTATTTCACCCCATTGTATATGTTATAATACAGTGATATCAAATCAATTTTCCCATAAGGTCAACATTGAACCTAACCACTGAATTTGATTCAGTTCTCATCTCATTTGGTTCGTGACCAGATTCGTGGAAAGAATTAAGTTCATGAACCAAGGTGTGACTATACCTATTTTGCTGTCCCTTGAAATTTAAGTTTTATTTATTCTTGTATCTTCAAGAAGAGCTAAATTTTTTGGACTTTCTACTGACAATCTTTTAGGGGAGCAGAGGAGATCCACTGTCCCCATAGGCTCCCTCTGGACATCTTGGCCCAGAGAGAGATGTGGCACAGTGCAAGGGGAAGTACTTCCTGTGAATCCTGGCCTCAGAATACAACCTGGTCACAGAGGTTCTTTGGGCTGTGGTCAGAATTCTGGGATATAGAATTAGGATGGGGAAGGAATTAGGTATGGAGGAAGGAGACTCAATTAGGTCTTATTGAGCCTGGCCATTAAATTATTTGTATAGGAACTGTGAAGTTTTTCACATAGACAATTTCAGGAAATCTTCACAAACACTAAAAACCATGTACTACTATTACCTTTACTTCTATAGTTGAGGAAATTGAACCTTTGAAAAGTTAAGAAAACAGTCTGTCTACAGAATCTCTTATCCTCCTGTCCCATTTCTTTTTCTCTAATGCTAGGACTAAGGACAGCTTAGGTAAGTCTCCCTTTTGTAAAACCATTTGATTTTATCAATTAGAAGCGGAGCAAATGTAAAAAGAAACACATCATCTTGGTACAAGACTTTGCAAAGATTAGTTATTCAACAAGTACTATCTGAATGAATCAAAGAAATTATTGATTTTCTGTTCAATTTTTCTTATGAAAAGGGATTATTATTTCAACTGTCTTTTAAAGAGAGCTTAGAATATCATCCTATATGCTGCATGGCATTCATTTCTAACTTACCTTGTGTGACTGTGTATAAGTGCTAGTGTGTTAGGCTAGAGATGACATATTAGGGTTCTAGTGTAAGCTGTACCATGGATGAACTGCAGTGCATAAAAATAACTAGCTCTAAGATCCAGGGAACCTAGAAGTAGTGCAATCTGTGTGGAATGTGGTTTCCAGAAAGCTGGCTCTCAGATATGTATCTCAAGATGGTAAGGAACATGTCCTTCGGCCAATGGAGACCAGCCCTACAGTCTGTTGTAGAAAGTGCTGAACATTTGATTTGGATGTTGCAACACTAGGTTTATGGTGCTTGGGCTAGAGGTAGGAGGGGAGACAAATACATGAATAATTGTACTTGTTGTATACCACACAAACAGGGGTTCTGAATCTTGTTCAAGGTTCATAAATTCCCCAGAAGGAGTCTGTTGATCTTTATAGACTTTACGATCTCACTGTGATTTTAAAATTCCCTCTTCAAATCAGGACATAATTGTGAAAAATGTTTTCACAGCTCAAGTTTTTGTTTTGTTTTGTTTTTGTTTCTCATTGAGTTTATTGGTACATTTTAGGCATACAGTACAGTTACATTCATCACTGGGATCTTGTACCTTTACATGACAGGTCTTGGTTCTATTTTTTCACCCCTGCCCTCCCTGCCCCCTTCCCTATTTACAAATAGAGGTTTATTTCCATTTTTTCATTTTCTCATGTTGTTTTTCTTTTCCCTTATTTTTCCCCCTACCCTTCCCACTTCCCCTACACCTTTAGCCCTTTTCTTTCTATTTTACATTGTCAGTTATATCATTATGATCTTATGTACAATTCTAGTTTTTCACACCAGAGAAACTATTTGGTATTTATACATGTGTGACTTATTATTTCACTTAGGAGTATATCCTCAATATGTATCCATTTTCCTATGAATGACTCTAATTTCTCATTATTTATGACTGAGTAGTATTCCATTTTATAAAAAAAACACATCTTTATT